CTCTGCTCAAGTAAGCAGCCTGTGGGCAGGGACTGTGTGGGCCCTCAAACTGGTCTGCTGGGGCCCCGCAGCCTTTGAGGCCAGCACAGTGTGGTGGGAAGGGAAGCACTTCTCGGGGGACAGTGGGCAAGTCGCTCCTTCTGGCTGCCCTCCACGTGCATCCTCCAGGCCAGAGAGTGGGACTTGGTGAACTGGAGCTCTTCCAAGGCATCCTAGTCCCTGTGGCAGGTGCCCTCGAGGCCAGACCATGGGACTTGATGGGCCGGGGAGTTCCCAAGTCTTCTGTTGAAGGAGCCTTCGGGGGACAACTGCAGGACTCGGTGACCCAGAGCTTTTCCATGCCATGTCTTCTGCAGGAAGCCATGGAGCCAGACAGAGGCATGGAGCAGAGACCCCCCAGCGTGCCCCAGGTGGCCTGGGTGAAGGAGGATGATGAGGAGGAAGGCCCTGGAGTTGCCCCATCCCAGCAGCCTGAGGAGGCAGAGCAGTCCCAGCCCCTGCAGGAGGGTGAGTGGCACAGCTGGGCCACAGGGCCGGTGGCTGCAGCCAGATGGGGCTCTTCCCATCATATTCCCTGTGGACATGGCCAGGGAAATGGAGGGGGAAGAGTGCCCGGGACTGTTTCCCCGGCAGCCCCATGTACTGGGCATCCCGGGGCTGGCCCTGCCTGTGGAGTGCAGGGCTGGGCCGTGTTCTCCGGCCTGTCCCGCAGCCCCTCAGCTCTGACTGTGCTCACTCTTTGCCACATCCAGGATGGGACAGCGGTGCAGACACCGACAGCAGGCCCTCTCAGAGCAAGAGTGGTGCTCCCCCTCCGGATGTTTCTGAGGAGAGCGGTGTCTCTGATGCAAAGCAAGTAAGCAGCCTGTGGCCAGGGCTCAAGCCCCCAGGGATGGTGTGGCCCCTCTAGCCAGCTCTCCTGGGCCCTCTCAGCCTTTGAGGCCAGCACAGTGTGGTGGGAAGGGAAGCACTTGTCAGGGAAGCTGGGCAAGTTGGCAGCTCTTCCCCCATGCCTCCTCCAGGTGCCAGCCTTTGTCAGGAACATTCACCAGAGACTGACAGCCAGCGCGACTCCAGACAAGAAGCTGCTGATGGAGTTTCTGAGGGTTACTGATGAACACCCTGCTGATGCTGTGGTGACCCTCCTGCGCTGTGCCCCATCGTGTGACAGGTACAGGGCGTTCCTGCCTTCGGGGCTCAGGGCTCACCAGCCTTCAGAGCCCATCACCCTGTCCATCCCGTCCCACATGGTCTGCCAGAGGGACGGAGAGTTCCAGGACCATCTGGAGCCTCTGTTTCCCAGCCCTGCCATGTCAGCCCCCATCCTGCTGCCATGGTCCCTCCCTGCTCCTCAAGGCACTTTGGCCAGTGCCCCCCTGACACAGAACTCTGGCCCTGCAGAGCTGCTGCCATCATGTGGAAGACCATCACCTCATCGGGAAGGACAGTGCTGAAGGTGCTGCCACAGCTGCTCCGTGTGATGGAGAACTGGCCATGGCTGAGCATGTCCACCTCCGACGGGGACGAAACAGATGTCTTTGCCCTGGCTGTGAGTTTCTGGAAAGGGCTTTTGCTCACCCCCAGGTCACCTCTCTGGTGGCTCTCCATCCTCCCCCAGCACTGCATCTCCCTGCCTCAGGCGCTGGGCTGGAAATGTAGGTTAGGGGCAGGTTCAGGGGCACCAGGCCAGGTGCTCCCCCTGCATCCTCCTTGGCATCTCCCTGCCACGCTCGGGCCCTGCCACATGGACATCTGGGCACTGAGAGCTGTGTCCGGGTGGTTTATCTTTTGCAGGCAACCAGGGTGATCTGGGAGACTCTGCAGACGTTCTGGTTCGCAGAGTCATTGACAGAGTACTCCCCCCGTCTCCTCGTGGTGCTGCTCTTCCAAGTCCTCATCAGTACAGAGCAGACGCCCGAGGAGGTCGACACCTTCTGGAGGGGATGCTGGCAGCAACACAACCTTCCCACCCAGCCCAACAGGTGCTCCATCCCAGTCCTCCCCTGCCTTCTGTGCCCTTGGGGCTGCTCAGGGCTCCCAGCATGACCCGGGCTTTGCTCTGCACCCAGGTTTGCAGTGCTGACCGTGAAGGCTCTGCTTTGCCACCTGGAGTGTGAGGAAGTTGTGCTTTCAATGGAACGCAAGTGTGGCTGGGACACGCTCCTCAGTGCTGACACCCACCACTACGCAGTGGGTCTGCTGGCCAGGTGAGACCCCCTTGTCCCCACTGCCCCTGTCATTTCTGCCTCTGCACGGGGCACCCCACACAGTGCCCGTGGTCGTGGGCCAGAGGGCCTTGTCACCCAGGGATGGGCAAGCAGAGTGGAAAAGGCTGGGAGAGGCGGGTGCACAGGAGGAGCTGCCTCCCAGGGTGCCCTTGTCCTGGGGAAAGACCAGACCTATGTGAGTCCATCCCAGGAGAGGTTGGCCCACCGGGCTCAGGGTCAATGGGTGCCTTTTTCCCCCTGGCAGGGAGAAGCGCCACGTCTCCAGCCCCTTGTGTTCCCGCATCACACTCCACCTGCTGGAGCTGCTGAGCAGGGAGGAGCCGTGCTGGGACCTGCCTGCCATGGCATTCCTTGTGGAGGTGAGCCTGATGGCGAGCGCTGCCTGGCCGAGCTGCCTTCACCTCTCTGCCCTCTTGGAGGGCCCAGTCCTGTGTGGGTCTGGGCTCCTGCCAGCGGGCACCCCGTCACTGCTCTGTGCCTTTCAGGTCCTGGACTGCCTGGACATGAGTGACTGGGGAGGCAGCATTCTGCAGAGCCTTTCAAGGCACCTCAGGAGTGAGTGCCCAGAGATGCGTCGCCTGGCGCTCCGAGGCCTCCTGGTGCTCAGACAGGATCCCGTGATGGTGAGAAGGGGCAGTTGGCTGAAGCTGTGCTGGAATCCTGGGGCTGGGGAATGCAGTCACTTGGGCTTGGCTGGGCTTTGGGAGCTGTGGCAGCTGCTCCCAGCTCTGCTGCCTCCCTGTTCAGCTGCCCAAGTCCCTCGGCACAGGCCTTTGGCCTCCAGGCCCTGTGGCAGCACGTGGGGCTGCCCCACTGCAGCAGGGTTGGGGCTGCAGCCATTCATGGATTCACAGCACAGCACTGCGTTCCTCACAGGCTGACGGTGTGCAGAGCCTGACAGAAAGCCTCCTGGAGCTACTGTGGGATGCAGACGGAGAGCTGGTCTGGATGGCCCTCTCTGTATTCATCAATGAAGTCCAGGACAGAGGCATCCCAATCTCCACCCCCACTGCCCTGGAGCTGGCTGAGGCACTCCAGACACTCTTTGGCTACGTAAGGCTCTGTGCCCCCCACCCCAGGCGCTGGGTGCTGCCAGGAAACTGTGACCTGTGGATTTGCAGGCCTGGGCCTCGGTGGGCCTGGAGCAGCTGGTGCTGAGGTCTTTTCCTCTTCCTTTCCATCAGGACAACATCCATGTGCAGCTGCTCTCCATTTACCTCTTCGGAAAGGTGTTGAAGTTGGTAGTGGAGGAGGGAAAACAACCCCTGCAGACGCACGTGATCCAGAGCCTGCTGCCACTCTTCTTCCTCTCGCATGATGAGGATGAGCACCTGGCAGACGTGAGGACTTTCTGGACTCTGGTGTCCCTGTGGGAGGGGGCCGGGCTGCCTCCTGCCCTGGCACCTCCCGGGCTCCAGCCTCCTCCTGATCTTGGTGTGGGGACAAGGGTCCTGTGCCCTGGGCCGTGGTGCCATGTTCTGGTCTCTGTTGCTCTGCAGGCCTCTTGGGAAGTGCTCATTCGTGCACTCAGGTTCCTGAAGAGAAGGGATCTCAAGAACCTGCTGGAGGCGGACAAGCCGTGGTGTTTCTTTGACTGCCTGGTAAGGATGGCCAGGAAGGCCCAGCCCCAGGCTAGGCCAGCCCCCAGTCCCCGATGCCCAGAGTGTGGGGCTGGCACTGTGCCCCTGCCCACTGCTGCAGCCGCCTGTGGGACAGCAGCCTGCGCCCCACCCGCTGCTGCCTT